CCTTACAGGGTACTCTCAGAGTGTGTCACTGGGTTTTGTTCAGGTGAAACTAATCTGGATGGCACTCCAGAGAAGCAGTTATTGTGCTCCAACTGCTAATAGGGATTTAGTCTACAGAAGCTTACTACAGAGTCCGATGTAAACTCCTTGAAATCCAAAGTGGGTGTTGGGTCTTCAGCACTAGGAATTTCTACAGATCTGCTCCTGATGCACCCACACTACCTGCTAACGTATCCATAGTCACAGTTCATTGGAAAGAACTGTAGAGAAGCTTGACATGTTGCTACCTTCCCTCGAGAAACAAGTTGTAAGTAGATGGGAAGGATCAAAACATTCATCTTCTATTTTTAAAGATGTTTGAAACTGCTCAGAGATGTGCAAACTGTAAGGCAAAGGTGCACAAAAGAGAGATAAGGTGGTAAAGAATAAATATTTATCCTGAACCTACAATTTATCACAGAAATAGATGATGAAGAGAGACTAGGCAGTTTCTATGAGTTTTCTTAGAGTTTTGGTAGTGGTGACTGATCACTCTGTGGGGGACCAGCTTTTCTTACACTGGCAATGACCTCTGGGAAATTTAAGCAAAAGACTTTTACGGAGATTCAGGAAAGAACAATTACTGCTGCTGGAATGGAGTGTATGGAACTCCATGGCTTGTGTTATACAGGAGCTCTTCTTACTGGAACTTTATTCTCTCTCCTGGCCTTAAAATATGTGAATTTCAAAGAAATCTGCAGGGGACAACATGGAGCTGTATTTCTTGGTTTACATGATATAAGACTGCTGGCTCATTTCCTTACCTGTATTCTGTTATTTACTTTACTCTATGCAAATTATACTTGTCCAAATACCTGATACTATTTGCATATCCACACTGTGACGTGCACTCACACTGGAGATCTAGGAACTGACTAGAGGAAGTGCGTGTGCTCTGCACGCCTGTGTTTGTATGTAAGTGCGTGCCATTTCAGAGAATTTAAAAGCATGTGGGAGCAATCATCCCTCAAACACAGGTTGGGAAAGGGGAGTAGTGAATGGTAGGAAGTGAGAAAGGTAGAAATCTGAAAGAGACAGCTTCATATAATTTTTCAGTCT